CAGACAAATCCCACAGGAAAGGACACAGTGATTCCAATACTTTTGTCACTCTTCAGACACACTAAGAGAAAGAACTGGTGAAACATCAAATAACTTAAGAATCAGCTGAAGTGATTCATCATGTGCCTCGACTAAGATTTGGAAAGAGTTAGCTCTCCAACTTCTGCAGTGCTCTGTATCACATGCACATAGAGAGGTGTCCCAGCACCAGCTCCAGGCACAAGGTACAATTCAGAGGATCAGGGAGCTGAAGCCTGTTTATTTCCCACTTAACCAACAGAAACAAGTTTGCCAAGTCTGAAAAGGTTCAGAGTTTCTCAACATCCCCTGGAAGGCTAAAGGCAGTTTCTTCAGCTTTCTGGCCTAGCTATCAACCCTCCCCTTGTGAGAAGAAGGCATGACTGAAAATTCCAGCTCCAAGAAGCATTTTCAATACACACTGAGACTCAGGGCACCGTACTCACCGCATTTTTCACAATGTATTCTGAGGTTATAGTCTCCACTTCTTCCACTGTGTAAGATGATACATTGAGACCAGCAGGCTGGGATTCATTAATCATCAACAGCTGGTAATATTCCTCATTGGCTACATGAGAACAACAACAACAAAAATTATAAATATTAATAATAATATTAATATATTAATAATAGATGGATAGTAATAATATAGTAATTATATAATAATATAATGATACATAGTAATAAAATAGTAATAATATATTATTACTATTCATTTATTAATAATATAAGATTATCAATAAACACCTAGCCCAGGAGTAGTAAATGGCAAAAATATCTTTGGGCATAAATGCAGAAGTTGGGAAATGTAGGCACTATTCCAAGTACATCATTTTCCCTGGTAGGGCTTCCTCATCAATAACTCATACAAATGTACACATCTTGATCTACCCATATATGAATGGTCACATATTTTAGCCTGACAGCTCAAACAGTACGAAATTGTTGAATTGTTTTCAAATCAATTTTCTAACTCAACCAAACAGCAGTAAAATATTAAGCCTCTAGAGAGCTGCTTCAGCTCCCAAAGGAACAAGTTAACAAAGCCAACAAATGAGAATAACATGAAAATATCTGGTTAGAAAGGTTGTCATCCATAATACAGTTCTCTGTGTAGAGCTATGTTTATTTAAATTCCTATTTTGAAAGTTTCACTTTAGCCAGGTTGGCATTATCTAGGCAGAATCACACTTTATTACCTTTAACTTGTTTAATGCTTTTAAGGGCATATTTCAACGTTGTTAGGACACTGGATTTGCCTTTGACTCTCTTCTCAGAAGGAAGGTGAGCTTTCAGCTCCTGCAGCGTTTTCAGCAATTCCTTTTGTGTTTTGGCTTTAGTGGACTGCTCACTACTGTAAGATGAAGAACAAAAAACACATCACTTGAATGCTTGAAGCGACACATCATCCTATGAGAAGCCCAAACGTACTCTGACACTTGTCATCCACATCCAGTTTGTACCACCAGCCTCATGAACTTTGCTAGTACTCAGTATCAGCTTCCAGACATATGGAAATTCTTACATGACCATTTAAAATCAAAGATTTACCACCACGTGGAGAGTGATAGTAAAACATACTTCATATGTGCAAAGTACATATGCCCAAGCACCACAAAATTTCTTTTTTCTTTTCTTTGCCACAGTCCCCCTCCTCCCTTTTTAGTGGTATTTTCCTTAGCTCTTTTCAAAATCAAACTCAGAAATGTTCAAGGACTTCAAAGGAGAGGAGCAGGAGGTTTGTTCAAGTCTTCACCTCCTGTTCGAGCAGGTTCTCCTGAGAAAGCTCCCTGAAAAGGGCATGGCAAGGGAGAGCATCAAGTTAACAAAACAAATGGAGAAATCCTTTGAATAATGTGTCCCAGCTAAGCATGGCAATACATTAAATAAGATAAGGAACCTGACTAAATTTGTAATGAAAAGAATCAGAGGAGGCTGGAGATAGAAGCTGCATTCACAGTTCTCAGGTGCTGTCAGGAGAGTGTCTCAGTGTAGAAGAACAAACTACAGAGATTATCAGCACCAATATCAGAAAGTTATCACTCTCCTTTCCAGTTCCTGCTATCTCTTCCCATTATTGAGAGGTGCTGACACAATCAAAAAGGAGAAAGGGAGGTGAGGGAAGTGAGGGAGAGGACAGCAAAGGTGGATGGCAGAGGAGCAGGAAGGAATTTCAATGATAAATCACCTTGTCCTTCACATTGAAGATTTTAAAAGTTGATCATTCACAATGATCAAAAGGAATATAGAGCTGTTCTTAAATATTCCTAA